TAAGTATTTCTTATATAAAAAGTATTTTTAAAAATTATATGTTACATAATATTTATTTTATATTTATAGAAGAATTTTATGGAGAACTTTAGTTTTATTGCCCGAACCAATATATAGCAGATTATTTATATGAAATGCTTAAATTAAATTTTAAGCTAAATAAATATAATCTTTTTTTTTTTCCATATGTAGATTTATTTTATTTTTATCTTTTTAATGAATCATAATTTATTTATTATATGATGGTTTTATTTTTAGTATTGACATTACATCAAAAGGATCAAAAGAGCGTAACATCAATGCTAAAAAGAAAAGGCTGTATGACAAAACAAAATTAGTCTCCAAATCTGATAGAGGCTGTCATGTTGATTTAATAATTAGGAATATATTAAATATGGATCTAACAATAATAGAAGTTGTAGGCCCCCGCATCATAGAAATCATAAGAAAAATCTGTGAGATTTTAGAAGAGGTATTAGAGCTTGTAAAGATTCTTATGAAAAGTTTGTTAATAATTTGGTCGAGAAGTATAGCAAATAGATAGACGAAAATGTTATCTATAACATTTATAATCAATTAGAAATATATTATATTCATGTACACGGTTAGTATAATTGAAATTTTATTCTTAATTTTTTAAATTTCAATTAATGATCTTATTTAATATTTTGAACAGGAATGAAATGGTATATTTGGATAGTTGATCATCCTGGTAATCAAGTGTATAGAGCAAGACCTTTATGTGAATTTAATATTCCTTATAAAAAGAAAGATATCGAAGATATTTACCAATATTTAAGAGTTTTAAATAAATTATGTGTAATTATTATTGTTGATTTGTTATTATTAAAAATTATTATATTGGTTATTATATTAATAATTTGAATTGTCATTTACTATTTGAAAATAAAAACGTGTCAATAGTATCTCTAAATTTGTTGAAGAATTTTATGAATATTTAAGGCAAAAGGCAAGAAACAATCCATATATAATACAAGATACAGAATTTGTCAAAATATTGTTAGATGGATGCACAATTACAAATCTTACTCCTTCAAATAGCCTGAGAGATCCTTCATCCAATTCAAGTAGCACGTCATCAGAAGAACATATAGAAGAAATTTTATCTTCATTCATCGAGAAAAATGTTGAAAAGCTGTCAGGTTCAGAGAATAATTGGGATATGCCTGAAAACTCTGACTACGAACTAGAGTAATAGTTTATAATTGTCTTAGTATCAGATACAAATAGCATTACTATTTACTTGCAATGAATTAATTCGTTCATGGAAATGTAATCGTACTTGCAAAAGCATTTACATTTACTTGCAAACGAATTAATTCATTCATAGAAATGTAATTGACTTAGTATCTAATACAAATAATACTTGCAATGAATTAATTCGTTCATGGAAATGTAATCGGATTTACAAAAGCATTTATATTTACTTGCAAATGAATTAATTCATTCATTTTAATGTAAATAGTATTTATCTTGTAATAAATTTAATAAATTATGAAAGTCTATGGATAATTTATACGAATTTGAATACAGAATTCGAAAAAGTGAAAAGTAAATCTATATTTTAAGTTTTCAATATTTGCTTTAGACGAGTATTGATCATTAATTCTTAAAATTATTAAAAAGATGAACAAATTAATGCAAGAGAAAACTGTTCAAATATATACAATGATTTAACAAGATTACTATCCTTATTTTTTTGTGATTTCTTTTACTCTTCATATACTATTATCTTTTTAAATACAGTATCTATCTAGCCAGAATAAATAAAGTGCGATATCATATATAAATCAAAACTGAAAATATATATACTATATGTATGGATATTTTGCCAATTTACACAAACAAACATATAATTTTTAAAATCCTTTTGATATATACTACAATAATTTAGAGCTATTTTTTTTAATTTTTAATTATAACATAGTAAAATTTGCTATGAAAAACTTGATTTTTAATATTATTGCTGTTTCAGAAATAGTTGAAAAAGCTAGTAAAAAATTTTTTTTTAAAATATTGCGAATACCTGAATACTCGAATACTTTGGAAAGATCGATACTTGATTTGATTTATATACGTATTGTAAGTTATATGTTAAACAAATTAATGGTGCTGTTGTTTATTTATATTAATTTTTGCGGCTGAAGCTAGAAATTATTCATAGCACTATGATTAGATTTCAATTAATAAGATCCTTAAAAAAACAAAAATTTAATCCTATTCAAGAAAACAATAAGTAATAAATGTAATTATAAAAAATTTGAATCAACTTTATTGTTTGTAAATAACTTATTTTAAGAAGCACATATTTGTAGATTGAATTTGGTTTAATAGTTTTGTTTAAAAAATTTTTCAATAAAGTTATATTTCTCGTTACTATATTATGAATTATTCTATTGTGATTAGGAAAATTATCACATTTATGAAAGAATTCTAAAAATTCTAATTAAATTGTAGACAATTTGGATTCATTAAATTTGAAATTTAAAGCATTTGGTTTTGGGACGAATATTTAATTTAACGTGGGTCCTATTGTATTAACCAATTAAAATTTTATATTTTCAATTAAAAAGTAAAACAATGCAACTATACATACGACAAGTTCTTTTTATACTTATTTATCATTAAATGTTTTTTATAGTATATAAAAGTAAAGATTTCTTTAACTTTGAACTCTCTTATATACTCTAAATTAAAATAATTAACAATGTCCAAAAATAATAATAAAAATGATGAATTCTATCCATCAATAATGTTTAAAGTGAAGAGATGTGAATGAGTGTAAATTTATTATCGTTATACAATGGTATAAATTAAAAAATCTTTTCTAAAATTTGGTAGTATATTTTCATTATATGCCATATTCTGCCCAAATTAAACCTTAATTCTGCCAAAATTTATACTTTAAATTTATGTTTGAATTTTGCCCAAATTAAACCCTAACGCTAACACAAACGCTAATATTTATACTCTAATTTGCCAAATTTATATTCTAATTTTACCCAAATTTATACTCTAATTTTGCCAAATTTGTATTCTAATTCTGCCCAAATTTATATTCGAATTCTGCCCAAATTAAACTATAAATTTGCCCAAATTTATATTCAAATTTTGCCTAAATTAAACCCCAATTCTGCCTCTAATTTTACATTCAAATTCTGCCCAAATTAAACCCTAATTCAGCCAAAATTTATAATTTTAATATAAATTTGGGCAGACTTGAAAAGTTCTAGATTCATAAATTACTGGTATTACCAAATATTAATAAATTAACACTAAATTTTTCTTTTTATTTTTGAATGATCAGATAAGTTCATCTTTCTCAGAGTATTTAACAAGTTGGCCTTTCAGTTCTTTATCATATTAGCTTAATTATTATATCTTTTTTTCCAATTTACGAAATATGTAATAAAAGTATTTCCTTTTAGTTTTGTTAAAAAACGCAATTTTTCAATTTATGAAACATAAAATAAAAATATTTTCTTTTTAGTTTTGTTAACAGTATACAAGAACAATTTAGAATAATCAAATTATAAATGTAGCTAAACATCATTAACGTTAATTATATAAAATATGGTTCAATTATTTAAAAACATAGCGAAGGGAATGATATTATACAGGAATAGATACACAAATAGATATTTTGTGTTACTAAAAAAGAAATTGTACTACTTTATGATTTCTAAACAGCTAATTTATACTACTTGTTTATGTAAATAATATTATATAAACTTTACTTCTCAGTTCTACAAAATTAAGACAACTATGCTTAGTTGCTAAATTCTTAATTGCTTCACTTCATTCTAGATTAGATTTATATCGAAACGTGTTTTGAACAGGGTATTAAAATTCTAAATGTAAATTATACAGATTTAAAATTTTACTATTATTTAATTGAATCTGTAGGTCTTGTGCTAGGTGATTGATTAAAATAAAAATAAATTTTGCCTTATAGAGAATTTTGTAATCGTATTAATCAAATAGAAATATTGACATCAAGTTAGTATTAAACAATAAACTAGTTTTTTTAAATGATCTCATTCGAGAAATTTACAATAGTACCAATAAATATATAGAGATGAGTTGTTTTCCCGAGAATTCATTATGTAGAAAATTTTATAAATTGAAATCATTCATCACTTTCTTACCCTTTATCTTTTCTTTATGATAATAAAGATAATGAATTTTGAAAACTTATCTGTAAATTTCACTCAACTTGCGATTATGTTTCATGATAACGCCATTTCAATATTTCTGAAGTAGAATATTACTACTATCCTGAATCTTATCAATTTATTAATACTCACGAAAATAATAAGATTTTGGACAAAGATTTTATTTTTACCTATCTTAGTGTAATGGAAAATAATTCTTGTATAGCTAATGATGATGTCAATATGAGTGACAAATTATTTCAAGTTGCTATTGAGTATGAGCAAGAATGTAATAAATTATGGAAAAAGCGCAACAGAAATAAGTAATATTTTTTATAAAAAAATATTAAATTTAATTTTATTACCCATCTTAATATAAAAAATTTAATAGAATTTAGATTTATACTATACTATTTAATTTAGAAATTTCAAGTTAATAGGTCTTCAATATAAAAGTTACAAGTAATTAGATACTTTTGACTCCTATTGTAATAAAAATAGATTATTAAAAATAATACTAAT